TTGACCCCCCCCCCCCAAAAAAATCTAAGCATAAAAATATTAATACTGACAAATCTAATAATTGAATCTGCAATTAGGGAAAGTGGAGAGGGAAAGTGGAATCCAGTCTGGGAATGAGCAGGAACAGTTGATTTGCATGGCAGACATGGAGATCCAGATTTTTTGTTTGTTTGTTTGTTCATCGTTTTTAATATTCAACAGGCAAAGTTCTTCTGTATCTAAATGCAAAAATTTTCATAATTGTTTGAATAAAACAGACTACTGGGGAAAAAAATATAAATTTTCATCTTGTGACCATCTTGTGATTATTTTAACAAAAGCAACAATAATAAAATAATTGTAATAATAATAACTATATATATATATAGGTCAGTGGCCCTTGGCTTGGTATTGTTGGCAGAATTCGGCCCTCGGCGAAAACTAATTGAGGAACCCTGCTTTATACAAACCACATTATAGATAGCACTAGAAAATAACCAAACATTGAAACAGACTTTCAGTTTTTTTCAGATTTGAGTTTATTACCTGTGTTCAGTGGTGTGCATGAGGTGGGGGGCTCAAGTTGACGCTAAAGTGCCCTTTAGGTCTGATCTACGTCCCCCCCAGAGCACAATTTCTACCGAGGGGACACCCCCAAACCAACTTAAGCACGCAAATAATAAAAGTGTTTACTGCTTCATCTTAACAACAAAAGTCTTTATAACAAGTCAGATATCAAATGTTTCTTTGAGAAACAGCTCCTGCATATAGATGAGACTAGAAACTATGAAAAATTAAACCAATCACAGAAAACATCCCAGCACCCAACAATAAACACAGACTGGACAAATACAACATGTACAAGCATTCTGTGAAAAGAACTGGTTATACTAGTAAAAAAGCACAGATGGGATTCACTTTTAAGGGTTCACACCAATGGCCCTATGTTCATCTAGTTAGCGAGCCCCTGCTGATAGATGACGTAACTACACAAACACTATCTGACTTTTTTTTTTTTATCAGCTGAAGGCCATTCGAAGAAACTAGTGAACAAGGTAGTAAAGATGGCATGAATTCTTCAGTTTATCACAGAGCTCATAAGAGAACAAGTTTATTGTAAAGTATTATAAATGGCAGACATGGAGATCCAGATTTTTTGTTTGTTCATTTGTTCATCGTTTTTAATATTCAACAGGCAAAGTTCTTCTGTATCTAAATGCAAAAATTTTCATAATTGTTTGAATAAAACAGACTACTGGGGAAAAAAATATAAATTTTCATCTTGTGACCATCTTGTGATTATTTTAACAAAAGCAACAATAATAAAATAATTGTAATAATAATAACTATATATATATATAGGTCAGTGGCCCTTGGCTTGGTATTGTTGGCAGAATTCGGCCCTCGGCGAAAACTAATTGAGGAACCCTGCTTTATACAAACCACATTATAGATAGCACTAGAAAATAACCAAACATTGAAACAGACTTTCAGTTTTTTTCAGATTTGAGTTTATTACCTGTGTTCAGTGGTGTGCATGAGGTGGGGGGCTCAAGTTGACGCTAAAGTGCCCTTTAGGTCTGATCTACGTCCCCCCCAGAGCACAATTTCTACCGAGGGGACACCCCCAAACCAACTTAAGCACGCAAATAATAAAAGTGTTTACTGCTTCATCTTAACAACAAAAGTCTTTATAACAAGTCAGATATCAAATGTTTCTTTGAGAAACAGCTCCTGCATATAGATGAGACTAGAAACTATGAAAAATTAAACCAATCACAGAAAACATCCCAGCACCCAACAATAAACACAGACTGGACAAATACAACATGTACAAGCATTCTGTGAAAAGAACTGGTTATACTAGTAAAAAAGCACAGATGGGATTCACTTTTAAGGGTTCACACCAATGGCCCTATGTTCATCTAGTTAGCGAGCCCCTGCTGATAGATGACGTAACTACACAAACACTATCTGACTTTTTTTTTTTAATCAGCTGAAGGCCATTCGAAGAAACTAGTGAACAAGGTAGTAAAGATGGCATGAATTCTTCAGTTTATCACAGAGCTCATAAGAGAACAAGTTTATTGTAAAGTATTATAAAATATAACCTGTACTTATACAGGGGAGAGTTTTTTTAATACTACATTTAAAATGGTCTTGTTCAAGAAAATCCTGGCCAAGAAAGGAAAATTCAAATAGCATAAAAACACAATGTGCATGACTACATTACAAAAGCATTCTGCAATAACTGACTGAAGAGAGCCTGTAAATTTCCAACAAGAGTCATTAATTCAGCTAGTTAGATTTAGAGTTGAAGCTCCATTTGTGAGTCCAGTTAATCATCAAAGTGTTTTTAACTCAGTTCAGTCTGAGCTTCAGCAGTCATGATGAGCAGATGAAGGTATTACCAGAGGCGGACAGTAACTAAGTACATTTACTTGAGTACTGTACTTAAGTACACTTTTTGAGTATCTGTACTTTACTTGAGTATTATTTTTTCTGGGAACTTATGACTTTAACTTCACTACATTTGAAAGACAAATAGTGTACTTTTCACTCCACTACATTTCTATCAAGATCCTCGAAGTAGAAAGTCGTAAGTAGCAGCTTTGAAAGTCAGTGGGTGATTTTTTTCTTCCCTAAAACGTGACTTTCTTTTTTTCAGACAGTTTTATCAGTAATCACTCTTGGGGCTACATGAAGTGATTTCCCAGCATTTTTTTAACACTGACCAGTTGCAAATGTGATATTTATTTACAACAATTCAATAATAAGAAGTTAATATTGTGGTATATATTAGACACAATATTGTCTGATTTTGCTAAATTGTGTACGTGAAAATATTACCTATAAAGCCACAGAAGAACTGTTGTGCATCTCCTAATAAAACACAAAAGGTGTTGGACTTGAAGCAGCACTGCACAGACCGTTCTGTGTGTTACAGTATTACTGTCCTACTGTACGGTAGGTGACGGTGGTCCATGTATCTCCTGTCATCTTCTGGGTCAGAGTCTGAAAAGAAATAAAACAAACCGTCACAGAATGTCATGTAAATAGTAAATATCCACAGTAAATATTCAGTACTGAGTTTGACCTGACATTTATTATCTGACGTCTGCAGGAATAGAGATGAACAGTCATTTGAATCTCACCTCAACATCATCGTAGTCTGTATCTTTAGCCTGTGTGTCACCTGAGAGGTCAGAATGTAGGTTTAGTGCACAGAGTACAGGTTGTGTGGAAACATGTTTGTTTGCATTTGATTTCTGTCAGACTTAAGTGATTTTTTTTTCAGATTTTTAAAAAATCTCTTTCGAAACAATTGCAAGGAGTCTTTATGTTTTGCTCAGAAGGACAATGAGACAAAACTAGACAAATGATGTATCTGGGTTTAATATCCCATTGACCAATCAGATTTTAGACTGTGTTACATTACCGTGTGTGTTGTTTTTCAATATAAACCTTGTAGCTAATTTTACCCCACATTCATTTTCATATTCCAAAATACTAAAGTACTAAAGAAAGTGCTAAAGAAACTGTTTCAGGTAGAAATATGAGTTTTTCCAGTATTTATGAGATGGTCATACCTTTTTTATTTTTGCAGTAACAGTAAAGAATCAAACCAGCAAATACTATCACTCCCACAACACCAAACACAATAATCAGCCCAGTCATGTAAGATGAACCGTAGGAGTTTGTCGTCATTTGTGTTATTTCATTCTCTGGAAAGTAAAATATGAAGAACTGCAATAATCAGTCTATTCATATTTAAGTTTAGTCATATAACAATTATCGTTGTAAAAAATCATTAGAGAAAATGCAGCTTGCAGTGTGTAAACTAAGAGCAGAGATTTGAGTTGTGAGATAAAGACTAGCTATTGATCTTGAAACAGATATTAACCTTCACAGAGCTGTGTGATGTTTATTCTGTCTTCTTTCCAGCTGACAGGGTTGCTATGGTTACAGATGATGGACTCTTCACACTGCAGAACAGGATGAGAGTGTTGATCTGTGATGTCACTTCCTCTCGTGGGCAGCTGCCATATACAAAAGTGGAGCTGAGTGTGAAGTCATGACTTCTACATGTAAAACTGACAGTGCAGGAATCACTAGATCCGCTTGAGTTCACAGTCAGGACAGGAGTCTCCACAGCATCTGAAACACACATTTAAACCAAAATCAGAAACACATTCACAGTTTCACAGCCCACACTCTTAAAAATAAAGGTGCTTCAAAAGGTTCTTCAAGCGATGCCATAGAAGAACCATTTTTGGTTCCACAAAGAAGGTTCTTCTATGGCATCGTGAAGCACCTTTATTTTTAAGAGTGCAGTGATTTAAAAAAAAATGTATAAACATTTATTTTGTTAAATAAAGACAACAGAGATGCTGTCTACTGTACATTAAAATCTAAACACAATGCAAAGTATAAACATGATCCAAAAAGATTTCTTTAACCATGTTATTATTAACCTTCACAGAGCTGTGTGATGTTTATTCTGTCTTCTTTCCAGCTGACAGGGTTGCTATGGTTACAGATGATGGATTTCATACTGCAGAACAGGATGAGAGTGTTGATCTGTGATGTCACTTCCTCTCGTGGGCAGCTGCCATATACAAAAGTGGAGCTGAGTGTGAAGTCATGACCTCTACATGTAAAACTGACAGTGCAGGAATCACTAGATCCGCTTGAGTTCACAGTCAGGACAGGAGTCTCCACAGCATCTGAAACACACATTTAAACCAAAATCAGAAACACATTCACAGTTTCACAGCCCACACTCTTAAAAATAAAGGTGCTTCAAAAGGTTCTTCAAGCGATGCCATAGAAGAACCATTTTTGGTTCCACAAAGAAGGTTCTTCTATGGCATCGTGAAGCACCTTTATTTTTAAGAGTGCAGTGATTTAAAAAAAAATGTATAAACATTTATTTTGTTAAATAAAGACAACAGAGATGCTGTCTACTGTACATTAAAATCTAAACACAATGCAAAGTATAAACATGATCCAAAAAGATTTCTTTAACCATGTTATTTATCTGCATTCTCTATGTGAAAGGTTAAAATCGACAAAAAAAGTGCCACAAGCTGGTTTAAATATAAAAGTGAAAAATGTAACAAACTACTCCAATGAATTGTCTGTTATGCAGGAACACATGAAATCACACAAAGAAATGAGACTCACCTATAACAGATACTCTGTATGTAACAATATTGCTGTCTGATACTGCAGCTGCTACTGCTGTGTAGAGTCCACTGTCTGTCTTCTGCATGTTCTTCAGAGTCAGAGAGAAGGTTTTATTATTGAAATCTACTCTGTCCTTGTGGGAAGAGTAACGTTTTTCTTTTTTAGATTCACTTGTATATTTAACTATATTCTCTGATTTATTTTTTTTCCAGGATAAATCATCAAACTCTGGTAGTTCTTGTGTCTGTATATCCAGCTGAACAGAATCTCCCGTCTGCACAAACACAGAGATCTCAGCACTGAACCCTGAGGAGAGAGAAACACACAGTTCAGAACATTTTACACCTCCATCTCACCCCTTGTCACACTATATACACCTATTTGGATAAATAAATAAACCACAATGAGTTCATAAGCAATCAAATTATTTTTCCCTTACATAATTATATTATGGGGAAGAGTAACGTTTTTCTTTTTTAGATTGACTTGTATATTTAACTATATTATCTGATTGATCTTTTTTCCAGGTTAAATCGTCAAACTCTGGTAGTTCTTGTGTCTGTATATCCAGCTGAACAGAATCTCCCATCTGCACAAACACAGAGATCTCAGCACTGAACCCTGAGGAGAGAGAAACACACAGTTCAGAACATTTTACACCTCCATCTCACCCCTTGTCACACTATATACACCTATTTGGATAAATAAATAAACCACAATGAGTTCATAAGCAATCAAATTATTTTTCCCTTACATAATTATATTATGTCATCTCTCACATTAACATTGTCATTCAGTTCATTATTTTTATAGTCAATATATTAACACATATAGAAATACATGGAGGTATGTAGTCTCTCTAGACCACGAGACAAGGAATCAATGCATGGATATAAAATATATGTTTCTGTGATATGTGGTTCATAATATATAACAAAAATAACTAATAATGAAAAATAAAATAGCCTTAATGAGATGTTGAACTACGGCAAACTAAATGTAATTGCTTTTTACAAGCATCATCATACATAAAGCACTAGAAAATGACAAAACATAGTATTAGAAACTTTAATTATTGTACACACATTCATTAATTGAGTTTATTACCTGTGTTTGAGATAAGGAGAAGGATGAAGGATGCAAACAGATGCTCTACTGCCATCGTAGCAAACATCAAGCTGGCTGATGTTGTATTCTTCAAACAGGAAGTTGGATATGTGTGCAGTGACACTCGAGGAGCCTCTTTATAACTCTCCCACCACAAACAGATCCGTTACTAATCAACTACTAAATACCAAATAACAAGTCAGAAAACACAACGACAAATCCGACAAACCGGAAGAGGTAGGTATAGTTTGAGACAGCGCCATTGGTTTGGGATTACTCACCGCTGATTGGACGAGACATCTGTCAATCAACGTATACAGAGAAGAACCAGCCGAAGAACAGCAGAGTCGTGGTAGAAAGTTCAGAGATGGTATTAAAGTAGCTCAGTTTAAATGTATTGTATGAATTGCCCTTGCTATGGAATAAAAAATTAGTATAATAATAATTGTGTTTTCTGACTTGTTATAATGTTTTCTGAATTGTTGTTGTGCTTTCTGAATTGTTATTTAGTTTTTTAGACTTGCATTTGCGTTTGTAATTTGTTATTTTGTTTTCAGAATTGTGATTTGTTTAGCACTTCTCGGTCACCGTAGAAAAGGGAATAGATAACCGAGCTGATCCACACTCCGGAGCCGAAGGGGGCGGAAATGCACCAATAAGCTGGATGCCAAGAGAAGAAGCAGCCCTTTATACCGCCTGCTAGAAATTATACGAATATTTGTGTAAAGCTCGGTTACTAATCAAACAGAGCATTTTCTCAATATAAAGTATTATCGTTTCAGCCTAAGGATTATCACAGAATTTATTTGAGAGACATTGTTGTTACAAACATTGTAAACTACATATTTACGCGACGCGGCGCCGTCAGGACCTGAAAACATGGAATCGAAGAAGCATCGTAGGAGCCGATCGCGGTCCCGCTCTGGAGAAAGATCCCGTAGACATGTCCGCTCGCCCGAGGAAGGCTCCCGCAGACGAGGGCGGTCTGACAGCGGAGGCTCCAGGAGCAGCGGAGATTGTGCAGGCCCGAGCCGACACCGAGGGGGAGAGTCCGGCGACTCCAGCGACTCTGACCGCGATCACAGAGACAGAAGAGCACGATCACACGCTAGATCGAAAGACGGAGACAGGTACTGAAAACCAAACAATCCTGTAGGTATGTCAGTTTTTATAATAGGAGGGGTTCCGTGGAAAAGTTTAGAGAAAAACAGTGACAAAAGTATGTATGATTGAATAAATAAATAAATAAGATTGAAATGAACGAATAATTAGTTAAATACAAATATTCAAAATAATATTAAAATAGCCAAGTAAACAAACAAATCAACAATACATTTAGCAGTGCTATAGTGACAAGAAACAAACAAACAAAAAAAATCGAAAGGTTTTTATATTAAAGGGATCATATGGTGCGATTTCAAGTTTTCGTTTCTCTTTGGGGTGTTACAAGCTGATTGTGCATAGATAAGATCCCTGAAGTCGCAAAGACTAAAGTCTCAAAACCAAAGAGATATTCTTTATCAAAGTTAAGACAACGCCACGCCCCCCTAAAACGGCTCGTTCTAACACGCCCCCACATATCTACCTCACTATGTGGAAATATTTGCATAATGCGCCCAAATGTGCACGCAAAGAAAGAAGGCGTGGTTTCAGTAACCGCAGTTAGTGTTGAAGCAGCATGTCAGGGAGACGCTGTGTGTTTCTAGGCGAAAGCAAAAGCACTTTATTTGGCCTTCCGAAAGTAGATGCATTTAGGAATCTTTAAGATTACTTACAACAGAACAGCAATGCATTTTATGGACGACCGTTTCGTGAACCTAGGAGAGGAGGTAATTCTGACTTTGCTATGACAATCTGGCGCTTCTGAATCAACGACTGTAAGTATGTCTTGTTACTAGTTTAAGTATTTGCTATTGACTGTGCAAATGCGGAGTTTTGGTGCCCAAATGTTATATAGTACTTTTAAGACGATGCCATGACAGACATTACGATGTTGAGCCGGCATCGTGATTCCCACCCAACACTGAAAGATTGTAAACACAACTTTTTTTCATTTCTTTATTGTCTAAGCTCTTCAGGTGATAATCACAATAATCTGAAGAAACATAAGACGAAGAAGAAACACAAGGATGAAAAGAGCAGCAGGAGGAGGAGTTCCAGCTCAGAGTCCAGCGTGGAGCGAAACCGAGCCAGAGATGGCAGGAGCAGCGAGAGAGAGCGGAGGAGACGACAGAGCAGGAGCCTCAGCCGGGAGAGACCGAGGGAGAACGACCAAGAGGGAAGGAGGAGAAAGAGCAAAGAGAGGGATCGAGACCGACGTAGACGCTCTGAATCCAGATCCTCGAGTTCCTCGAGCTCCTCCGCTGATTCTGATCAGGGAGAGAAGACGACACAGGGAACCTCCTCCGCCAAAGAAGACAAGAAGAAACAGAGGGATATGATGAAGGCGCTGGAGACCCCGGAGGAGAAGAGAGCCAGACGTCTGGCCAAGAAAGAGGCCAAAGAGAGGAAGAAGAGGGAGAAGATGGGCTGGAGTGAAGAGTACATGGGCTACACCAACGCCGACAACCCGTTTGGAGATAACAACCTGCTCGGCACATTCAAATGGCAGAAGGTCAGAGAGATGTTTCAGATAGCAGAGTTCAAATGTGTGTTGATGTTGCATCGCAAAGTCCGGTTAGGACTCGTGTTAACAGAAATAAACTTCACTTACTGTGTGTGTTTGTGTGTTTCTCAGGCTCTGGAGAAGAAAGGCATCGGGCATTTGTCAGAAACAAATCTGAAGGAGAGAAATAAACATATCCAGCAGGAAAACCGCAGGGAACTACAAAAGGTACCAAACATTTTTGAATAATGGGGAGCCGGGGGGTTTGGAATTGAATTAAGAATTACTACAGAAAAGATAATATACACTTAAAGATTCAAAAACATGATATATATAGTTGGAATTTTTTTTTGACAAGTTTATAATTTCTAAAATCAGTTTCAAAATAATTAATGAAGTGTTAATGACTAGTGAAACAAATTTGAAATATTATTTTTGTTTACAGTGCTCCTGTAGTTTACCTTTTTTTTTCTTCTTTTTTTTATGTATCAAGTATTTTTAGTTAACCTGACAGGAGGCACCATAATCTAAAGTGATAATATTTTTAAATAGTTTTAATAGTCATTAGTATTTATGAACACTGAAACATTATAGAATGGGGAATTTGTAAGAGGATTTTGATTTTGGAGTTGAATTAAGAATTACTACAGAAAAAATAATATACACTTAAAGATTCAAAAACATGATATATAGTTGAAAAACTTGTTTTTTTGGTTATGTATCAAGTTTATAATTTCTAAAATCAGCTTTAAAAAAAAAAAAAAACTTAAAAATGTTGTTAATTAAGTTTTAATGACTAGTGAAACAAATTTGAAATATTATTATTTTGTTTACAGTGCTCCTGTAGTTTAACTTATTTTTTATTTTTTTTATAAATGTGTCAAGTATTTTTAGTTAACCTGACAGGAGGCACCATAAACGAAAGTGATAATATTTTTAAATAGTTTTACATTATAAACCTAATTAAACATTATAGAATGGGGAATTTTTAAGAGGATTTTGATTTTGGAATTTAATTAAGAATTACTACAGAATTCAGAAAAATGATGTATACTTGATAAATTACAAAAAAGTTTTTCAAGTATCTTTAGTTAACAGGAGGCACCATAACGTAATAAATGATAATATTTTAAAATAATTTCATTAGTCATTAGCAAACATACAAAGATAAGGTCAGTAGTTCATTATCTTAAAAATTATATCACAGAATATGAATAAAATTTTGACATTTATAATATATATATATATATATATATATAAAAACGTATAATCATATATAATATTGATTACTTTCTCACAAAAAGAAATACTGCATTTTTGTAATATTTAAAATATTTTTAATGTCTAAATGCTGCAACCATATTGCATTTGGGAAGTGAAATAAAAATGAACTGAATTAAAGGTGTGGGTTTTGTGCGTTCAGGTGAAGCAGCTGCGTCTGGAGCGAGAGCGGGAGAAGTCCATGCGCGAGCAGGAGCTGGAGATGCTGCAGAGAGAGAAAGAGGCCGAACATTTCAAAACATGGGCGGAACAGGAGGACAACTTTCACCTGCAGCAGGCCAAACTGAGGTCACGCTCTTCAGACGTGTAGTGTTTTTATA